TTCTGTTTTATTTTGTTTTTCTTGTAATCTCATAAATTTAATAAAGATCATGCGAGACTGCCGCACTTAATAAAAAATAAAAAAAAAAAAAATCATTTTTGCATATCAGGGATTAACGTCTCTAGTTTAGTTGGTAACAACTGAGTTTCTATTGTAGATTACACTGCAATAGTCACGGGTTCAGGCCTCAGCCGAGGCATAAAACTAGATGATTTTCATAAGAATTTCATATGTAACTGAACACGTGAGCATTTAGACTAATAAATGTTAGATACTGATCGATTGATTCATCGATTGACGTTAATCATACCTAAATACTGGGTTTGAAGAATATGTGAATGCAAATGAAGCTAGAGATCAACAGAAACTTGGCCTTCGCTGACAGGTCTGTAATGGATACTGTCTCACGTCTTCAAATTCAGGGGCCTTTATACAAGTAAGAAAGTGATTAACCAGTAATTAGTAAATTTGGATTTACCGCAAGGGGGCGTAATGCCTAAGGTAATAATAGACTACATTGCACGCTGTAGTACCTTCCAAATTGAATCATCACTAGAGTTAGAGGCTGAGTTCGATTTCCAGGTGAATTTGACGCTATAGGTACAAAACTACCATCTATGTAAAAGACCCAATCCCACGGTCTCGGTAGTCATTAATAGGGTAAAACCCTATAAATTAGATTGGTAAAAATAGAGCCTGACAAGCTCTATGGTTGAAGTGAGTTTTCTATCTAAAGGTGATAGTACCCAATAAGATCTAGTGAGCTTTGTGGCATGAGAATAACTTGTTACAAAGTGGTCTATACTAGGTGGCAACTGTATGGGGATGTGCTTCTAAGCGGGTTGCTGTACTTCTTCAATAGGATCAGAGACTTAAAGAAGTTACTTAACGCAGGATAACACTTGTCCTACTTAGGATATGCCCTCTACTAACCTCTAGCTACTGCACATTAATAGTAAAAAAAAAAAATTATATCAGGTTATTCTACACAGGAATAACTTATTGCAAGGTAATCTATACTAGATGGTAACTATATAAGATATACTTTTAGGCAAGTTGCCGTACCCCTTAAATGGAATTGAAGATTTAAAGAGTTTACTTAATGCGGGATAACACTTGTCTTACTTAGGATATGCCCTCTACTAACTCTCTAGCTGTCACACATTAATAGTAAAAAAAAAATTATATCAGGTTATTCTTGAAGACTTAGAAAGGTAATTTAACATAAGATCAAACTTGTCCTACTGAGGATATGCCTTCTGCTTACCTCTAGCCAATTGTATATTAATAGGAAAAAAATTTATATCAGGTTATTCTTCAAGATTTGGACTTTAAAATAATATAAAATTATGATTTTAGCTCTTATAGTTAACCTGTTATAAGCTTTTAAAGGTAACCAATAGTAGTTATATTTTTTTGTGAACCATTGTATAAAAGATTTTCGTAAATTTATTTAATTTTATTATACAAAACAAAATAATATTGTTGATCAAAAATCATTATATAACTATTTAATACTTAAATATATAATTAACTTTATTATTAAATTTTCTCTCTATCTAAAATATAAAATTTGTATTTAGGATTATTCTCTATTTTAAAAAATCCTACACAATGATCTATTTCTATAACTTCAATAAATTGAAAACTACTAAATTTATTAAAATATAACTATCCATAATTATCATATTGCAAATCGTCAATTTTATGAACATATGCAAATATTCGAGTTAATTCATTATGTTCATGTGAAACAAAATATTCTACTTCACCATATATTTCTTCTTGTACAAGATTTCTACTTGAGTTT